TAGGTATTTATTGTATACAGATTTTTTTATAACAATGTAAATGTCTTAACTGTCACTTTTCATCAATTTAATGCAACCTTGCTATGAAAATATTATTTTTCTATAAAAAGTGTTATTGTCCCCAAACCTTTGACACACTACCAAACCTTAGTAGTGTGTGTGTGTTTATACACGTATATTGCAGTCAACCATGAGTCATTTAGAGAAAAATAACATACTGAGTAATATTTGGACAGTCATGTGATCAACACCTTAAACCCAAGAGATCAAATAAAACATGACTGACTGTAAGTGTACATCAGCTTAAACCAGGGTTCCTCAATTAGTTTTCGCCGAGGGCTGAATTCTGCCAACAATACCAAGCCAAGGGCCACTGACCTATATATATATTATTATTACAATTATTATATTATTGTTGCTTTTGTTAAAATAATCAAAAGATGGTCACAAGTAGTGCTGCACGATTAATCGTATCGCAATCGCAATCGCGATGTCAACCTGTGCGATTATATGACGGCAAAATGTTGCGATTATATTAAATAAATAAGTGTGTGGACTTGAGAACACATACTTTCTGAGAACAGTTTTCCGATTTTCTGTGCCGTCTCGGTCAGTCTCAGTATAGGCAGTGCACGTGTGGCGTGCGTGGGCGTGGTCAGTGGTCACTTGTGTGCGCAGCGCAGCGCGGAGAGACCAGAACGAAGATGGATGGCGAGAAGATCGACACTGATCTGGTAGCCAAAAAAAACTCTACCTCTGTAATATGGCGATATTTTGGATTTAAGATTACTGACACTGAGCAGAGAGAGGTACTGTGCAAGATTTGCAGAATTAAAGTTGCTACATCACGTGGCAATACGACAAATTTATATCAGCACCTGAAACAGCACAGAGAAAAATATGATGAATGCATGACGGTGAAAACCCAGATTAGTAAAGAGACAACTGAAGGAAACAAGGCACAAGCTGTTCCCCGAACAAAACAAAGCACAATTACAGATGTGTTTGCGAGTCTCACGCCATATGATAAGTCTTCACCTAGACATAAAGAAATCACCGACTCCATAACGCACTGCTGACTCATGATACCATTTATTATAATCGCAATCGCATATCGCAATATTAACCTCAATAACCGCAATATGAAAATTTTCCCAAATCGTGCAGCCCTAGTCACAAGATAAATATTCAGATTTTTTCCCCCAGTAGTCAGTCTTATTCAAACAATTATGAACATTTTTGCATTTAGATACAGAAGAACTGGCTGTTGAATATTAAAAACAAATGAACAAACAAAAAATCTGGATCTCCATGTCTGCCATGCAAATCAACTTTTCCTGCTCATCCCCATAAGCGACACGGGATTCTATTTTAGAAATGGTTTTGATTTTCTGCGACGTCGCGGCAGGAACAACATACAAAATATGACAGTGATAATCTCAGGATACAAAAAATCAATTTCACATTACTTTACAAAAGGTAAACAGTACAAACTAAAACTAAGGCATAAATCAAAAGAATAGTAATAAAAAGATAATAATACCTAAACATTGCATTTATGTCGTGCAACTTAACTTTCAAGTTTCAGCCTATCTGTTCCAATAAGTTTAAATAGATTTTTATATTTTATGGGAATTTTTACCTTTATAAAGCATTTTCTAAAAGTGTGCATCATCTTTTGAGTCAAATTCTTACATTTAATCAGTCAATTAGAACAAAAGACATTTGGGCTGTTACCAAACAAATGATATTAGTATCAAAATTAATCTTTGCAATGCAGAGAAAACACAGAAGCTGCATGGGTTGAATTTCCCACACAGAGGGACATGAATGCATTTAACCTGCAGTTACAAAAGCATAAATAATATTTAGTTATTTTAAACTTAAAACATTGAATACTGATATTTACAATTATTTAAAAAACGAAAAAACCGCCAGCAGGTGGCAGCAAGTCACTGTTAAGAAGTGAGTCATTGCGATTGAACCGAATCATTTAAACGGTTGATTCTTGATTCATTCAGGAACGAAACGCTGTCATGTTGCACAGAGACGCAAAAACAGCGCTGTGGCTGTGTTTGGAATTTTTTTGTTGGCAAAATAAAGCAAAAACAGGCAATATAGTGTCTAAAACATAAGTCTCATAATATTACCTTTTTGTTTATTGAACTGTTGAATAGAATCACATTTGTAATCATGCTGATTTTAGAGGTGGCACTCTTCGTGTGACATTGACTAACTTTCTTTCTGTGGTATTTTTATGCACAATGGCGTTTAGTCTTTCACAAAACAGCTAACGTAGGGACATTATAACTAGCCACCATATTGATTTACGGTCCTAAATATGTCCAGCGCTTTGTTTTTTATTTTTTAAGTCTGGTCCCTGTTTTTATACAGGCTATGGTCTGGTCCAGCGTTTATCGGGTTGTGCGTCAGTAATAATGGTCCGTGGGGAAACATGGTGTTCCGTGTGTAGTTACAGTAATTGGACTAAATGAAGCCATTTGCCTCGATTATTTTTTTGTATTCGAGTTACTCGAGGTATTCGAGGAATCGTTTCAGCCCTACGACAAAGCATTGCAAATCATTTGAACTTTGTGTCAGCACGTCATATATAGAACGAGTCAGCAGTTTTCTGTTCGGGATTTGTCGCGCTGTAGACAGCATCACTGATTATAATAAGTTCTATTGTATTTTGTTGTCGCGCCACGCCGCGCCGCTCGTGTCCGGTGTAGACACGATGTAAGTTAATGTCGCTTTCTGATGCTGCTTTTGAATTTTCATCCCACATTATTTGAAATTAGCGTGGGCCAAACATTTTTCCACTTATTGAGGAACCCTGGTTTAAACAAAAGTACTGAAGCTGCACAACTGAAATTAAAAACACATTCAATTACCTTTTTACAAACATTGCGATTTGAATTGTGATTTATACATTTAAAAACCCACACTGCTGAAGTCTCATATTGCTGCAATATTTCAGCAATCTTCTGTCTCCAAGTTAAGTCATGTTTTGCTGCCAGAAGACGAGTTATTAACTTATTCATAAATATAGAACATTAGAAGAGTACAATACAATAGTAATACATTTCTGTTATGTTTTCACTTCCACAACCCTTATTCTTAGGCAGTTAAAATCCTTGAACCCTTGTTTTGGCAGAAAACTAAAGGTACACCTTTGAGTTTCAGTGTGCAATTGACAATATTTTAATATATTCTTCATTTAAAAACTGGTGAAATGCTGCCATCTCCTTTTCTGAGACTTGGTTTCACATTAATACATTTGTGTAACCTGTAGTCACCAAATATGTTTGAAATTATGTTAATGTCAAAATAATAAAAGTATCTGGAGAATTTTGCATATTTGTTATATAAAGCCATAAAGCTACTTTGATCAATCCATTGTTCAGTGTTGAATGGTGTGCCCTCACCTTGAAGTTGGGTGAGAAATATCGGTTAGCTTTGTCCTTATTGGCCTTATCCAAGTCGTTCTTTGTTAAGGTCAGAATCAAGTAGTCTTTATCTCCAACCGATACTCCTGCTCGCTCTCCTCCCCTTTCTGCACCCTTTTCTCTTTCAAATCCTCCCACTGCGATCCCTCGCTCCTTTTCTCTCACCCTCTCTGCTAGAAAGCTCTGGCACTGAGAGGAGAGGCTGTCCACATCGTTGACCACCGACCCATTCTCCACTTTCTCCCCAGCTTCCTCGGGACCCGGGATGAAGAACGTGTTTATCCAGAAATGGAACATTTTATCCTGCGAACGCACATGAGTACACAGCAAACGGTTTACATTTGGGCATTGGATGGCCATAAATAGCAAGTGTTTACAAACACAAATACACATTCCAACAACAGCACTTATAAACACATTTATATAGAGCAGAAACACAAACACACACAGGACAGACATACTGTTGGAAGAAAGAAAAAACTAAAATGAGGAAGCAAACATATTTAGAACACACGCAAAAGGACGCAGTAGCTGCTAAAGCAACTACCAAAGACGTAAAACAATCGGAAAACCACAAACTGCCAAAAGGCAAAGTCTCTCTGCAGCCTTGGCAATGGGGTCAAGATCCTGTGATACGGTGTACCAATGACATTATGGTATTGAAAGAAGGGTTACAGGTCAAAGTTTACACAAGAACTTACCTTCTTCATCATCTTGCTCTGTTTGTGGAAGAATTCCACTTTGATGTCGCCACAAACCGGAAGAGGCTGAGGGAACTCAAAGATCATGTGCTTTTCTTCCCTCCGTGTGTGGGCTGGGTTTGACGTGTGGATCTTTACCTTCAACTGATACACGACGAACTGAGGGTCTGTTAGACAGAACAGAGAGATGGGGAGAGTGAGAAAGAGACGGAGACAGGGAGGAAGAGGAGAATTGTGGGAATAAATGTAAAACGAGAAAGAGAAAATAAAAGGTATGCAAAAGAATTGTATTCAGCAAAGAGGAAATAAAGAAAGGTGTTAATTATCAAGAAGCCCACACTGAGTGAAATAACTCCACCCCCAGATCTGACATCATCAGTCAAGGCAATGTCAGTGATTAGGAACGGGGCTGATGCAAAGGGAGATAGGGATGTCAAAAGGACTGACTTCGGTACCAGCCTGTACTGAAATTTGAAAAATGTGATGATACCAGAATTTCCCGCTAGCATTTTGAGCACTGATGAGCGTATTCTAAAACATCTCTGATTGGCAACTGTGTTCACACGCTCAACAGATATGTTTGAAAGCCGCATCTATCAGCGGATCCGTCTATGAGCAGATATATTAGGGATCCGCTGATAGACACGGCTTTCAAGCGCTCCCGTGTGTATCTGTGTAAGCGCTCAGTGAAGAGCGTGAAGCGATGATCATTGTAGCCAATCACAGACATATCTGTTGAGCGCGTGAACACAATGAACAATCAGAGGGGTTTAAGAATCCACTCAACAGCGCTCAAAATGCTAGTGGGAAATGCTGATATAGTCACATTTTTGTCATTTTAGTACTGACTAGGGATGCGCCGATCCGATATTCATATCGGGTATCGGCTCCGATAGTGCCATTTTTCTCAGATCGGGTATCCAAATCAGTTTTTTTTTTTTTTTCCCCGATTGTGCGAATTATTCTGTGTTACTTCTGAAGCCATACCATAGCTTAAAGTCCGCGTGAACCGGAAGTTGCTGCCGACTTTATTTCAGTGTAGTGACGTATTTCCAGCTGAAACGGAATATTGAATAGAGGGCATGGTTTTATGTTTGCGCTTTGGTAGGGTTGGGTATCGTTTAAATTTTGTCGATTCTGATTCTTATCAATTCCTAGTTTTGATTTCAATAAGACAAAAAAATCCAATAAAAAAAGAGAGTCAATTAATTAGATGTCAAACATATTTATTCTGTCTTTTTACAAAGCATTCTGTTGCAGCTGAATAACATGAGCAAAAATCAGCAGCCTACAGAACACTGAGGCCTACAAGAGGAACATTTGCCTATGGTTTTAACAAAAATACACAGCAAAAACAACTAGACTAAAATAAATTTCAAACATTAAATTGTTAAAGAGGGTAAGCCATTACGCTAATGCATTAGCTTAAAGCTTAACATAAAGAATTCTCATGTTTTGGGTAAGTTAGCTTGGATCACGTAACTCTCCTGCAGCATCTCATTCTGTTTCCTCCACTATTTTAGATGCATTTTGTCCATAGAAATAAGTAATTCAGTGCTTTAATTTGACGCAACCGGCTGAAGTTGGACAAGTATGTAAACTCCGTTGGACGTGCACTGTGGGCAGACCCGATTAATCGATCATGAGAATAGTTGTCGACGATTTTCATAATCGATTTTATCGATTAGTTGTTGCAGCCCTAATTACAATAGAAAAAGGTTATTTGAAATGTTATAAGATTTAACAATATTACTGTTTTTACTGTATTTTTGATCAAATAAATGCAGCCTTGGCGCAAGAGACTTCTTTCAAAAATGTTAAAAAGGTTTTACCACTCACAAACTTTTACTTAGGTAACCAACCAGTTGTACATATTTAACATCGTAAGAAATTAAATATAATTAGTAACAATAATGTAATAATAAAATAGTACATTTACTTTCAAGACTATAATACATTTGATACTTTAAACATTTAATTCAGTTTTCACATGATGTCACACCCTTACAGGAAGGCGCACCTGGAGGGCAAAACAAGGTTTCCTCCACTGACCGCCAGTTATTTTTTCGAGTTTTGCATGAAGTAGTAATGCAGTAAGACAGTGATATTTAAAGGCCAAATTCAGTATACACCTTATTGATGATGCATACTTAGTACAAGCAAGCAGATGAACCCAGAATATAAACGCACTGCGCAAAGTTTAATATTAAATATTTTCCCATAGAAAACCATTATAAAGAAAACACTTAATCATTTAGTGCATTGCATTCATATTCCGGCTCATCTGCTTGCCTGTTTAAAGCATGCATCATCAATAAGGTGTGTACTGAATTTGATCTTTTAAGATCACTGTTTTCACATTAAACTTCCACTTTCACATTCAATTTTAGAATGTCCCACTGTTTTTAGTGATTGAAATATTGCGGCGGGTGCTTTATATGAATTGCTAATGGCCAAAACGTGCATTTTGTTTACATGTCTTTGTTTTATTCTTTTGAGAGGTGATCTAAGTATTTTTGGATTGGAACAGACAGAAAATTGACAGGCTTGTGCTGCAGTTCTATGGATGTTTTGTCCGCCAGGTCTTTGAGCCAGTCACTTTGACTATGAACTATGAATTCACCAGTATTTAATTCCATACCATTACCATTAAATGAATCATACCATGATATGAAATTTAGGTCATACCACCCACTTAATGCACAGCAAATTTATTCAGAGTGACTTGATTCATTTATAACTCCATCTTTATAAATAAACTCCTATTTTTTTGTTCTTGATGAAAACAAAGCGTCTCTATGGGTTTTAGAGCAGATAAAATATTTAGGAATTCTTTCTACCTGTTTCTGGGCTCCTGCCTGAAAGAGACTAGAGCAACAAACGCTGTACTGAACTGTACTGAATGCAGTACAGGGCAGGGCCTGTCTGACATTTGGAGATGTTTCCCTTAACAGTAGTAGTAAAGTAATGCCATTTTACCCCAGTGCCAGTTGCCTTTCTTGAAGCCCTGGGGATTCACCTCACTCCTGTTTTTAACAGTACTGTCCCCTTAGAGAGAGAGAAGGAAGTTAAAAACCACCACCATCAGCCTGGCCAAGAGCTAGGCTGCACCACACTGGCCCTGGCATGACAGCCATCACACACACACGATCTGGAACTCTGGAGTCTACCTCTGAATCATTGGAGTTCTGAGACTGAGTCTGCACTTTTAGTTTTAATTTTGATACATGAAGAACTTCCCAAAAATGGGTGTGATGTAGGGTGCAGTTCGGGATGGTGTTCAGCCTGGCTGTGGCACACAGATCCACGAACGTGAACAAAACATGGAATAGCACACTATGTATGAATGGGGGGAGGGGAGGACAGAGGGTGCGATCTGTGATGTCATTATATGCGAGACTGTGTTGTGGGCTGCAGGAGCTGATGTCAGAACAGAGTCCTCAAGGGATATTTTTAAAGAAAAGAAAACAGGAACAGCGAAAGACAGCGTACCCATGAGTGTTAGTGTTAGGGACATAGTCAAAAGATGTGGTACAGGGTTAAAATGACAAACACAATGGCAGCTCCTTGTGAGTGTGACCACAACACCACATGGCATCATAACCAGTTCAGTTTTATCAAATAACACTTTCAAAACATCTCAGGCTTTTGTATGTATAACATATATACAAACATGCTTTTAAAACCACTTTACTACACAACATCATTCCAAAAAAGGTGAATTGCTACACATTGTCATGTTTAAGACAAGGTTAAAGGAGAGTAAGACTTACTGCAGGTGCCCCCACTGAACATGGGCAGAGTCTGGAAAACCATTTTATGGAAGAGGAGAGCAATGGGTTTATATTCCAGCTTGTTCTTCAGCAGGTAGCTGTAGTAATACACATACCTGCACTGGCTGGGAATGGTGACCCCCTGAAAAAGAAAAATGGCTTAGTAACTTACAGGGAAAAATGTTTGTGTTCCGTTAAAACTTGGGGATGTAAAATAGTTGTGATACCTCTTCTTCAGTGCAACAGCAGTTCCAAATCATAAATAGAATGCAGAACCAAACGGTCATACCTTTTTATCCCTGGTCCTGACTTCCCCATAAAAGTCCAGTGCCTCTTGTGCCTCTAAGAACTTCCTGCGATGCAATAGGTAGGCGCATATCATGACCCCCGTGCGACCTTTGCCTGCCTTGCAGTGGATGGCCGCCACGTGGTTCTCGTCTTCAGACAGCCACTGGTCAAGATCCTCGCAGAAGGGCTTTATTAATTCCAACTGTGGCGGGTTATGGTCCTCGAAGGGATATTGAGCCACTGAAGACAAACAGATTTAAGATTCAGTACTCAGGGGATTTTAGAATCACCTTTATAGTCCTTCAGAATAGGACAGAGAATTAGAACATCATGCTCAAGAATACACGGTATTGATATCATGAAATATTGATAACATGTTAACACTACACATATGATAATTATGGTAAATAATCTGGTTGACACTCAAAGTAGGTGGCAATACTGGACCTTAATGCAAGTTGCCACCTGTCATGAAATGGAAAAAAGACAACGATACAGCATGTAGCTACTTATGACACACAAAGAGATGACAGATGAAGGCAAGACACTCTGCCGGCATCTGAAAAAATGTTGCTTGCCAGTGTGGGAGTTTTTTGAATTGCATCAAAAAAACCAAGATGTTAGACAACCTGTTCTAAAGGAAGTGTTGATGAATTATTTTGAATGCTTTTTGTAGCCGCTTCACTCATACTTTGAGGGCGATCCAAAAAAAAAAGTAAAATGTAAAAATGTTAAATATTTCAATACATATCAAAATAATACCATTATTGTGACTTCTTTTGGCCATAACAATCATGTAATGAAAATCTGATATTGCTCCTAAAATTACTGTAACTAAAATAAGTAACTAAAGTAACTAAAACAGACATCAAAACAGTTGCTTTTTGTGTTTTTAATAAACAGCAGAAAATTCTAATAAAAAAATTAAAAAAAAATTTAACAGTTTCAGGTTAGGAAAGACTTGACACCAAGAGTTGCTTCCTCGTCACTGCATGTGATTAGCACAAAACTCATTACTAGAAGCTAAAGCTGCACAACAACTTCCCATCAATAATCATCAATAACAAACCATTTCATCAAACAACTGAAGCAGACACTCAAATATCAGTTATATATGATCAGTTATATATAATGTGTGTTATAAACTGCGGACTTAAGAACAAAGCAAATGTTAAAATGTGCCACCACTCATCTCTTTCTAAAATCCTGTATCATAGCCTGAATCGAAAAAAAAATTTTTTTTTAAATCTGTGCTTTATCATACAATTTTTGGTCAACTCTGACCACCCAAAATCTGTAGACTGGCAAAGACTTTCCGTAACTAGCGTCGACTCCTACGGACTACAAATCTGGGCAAAAGTTGTGTAAATCAAACTGAATCGCTTCAAGTCGGCTGAAAGTAAAGAGCTCGTCTTTCATTCAGGTGTAATTAAAGAGACACTGTGGTAAAGAACTTATGTCATCACTACTTTTCAGACAAAAAACAAAAACCCTAAAAGCTCCAGATTAAAAATTAAAATGTAATATTGGAAAATGAAAGTAAAAGTACTCACCCCTACAATTGAATTTGGATGCATCGTAGTGTCGTTCAGCACATCTGGAAGGAAAAGCACAGCTCTGATCACCCAATATTCTTACAATAATCACTTATATTGTGATAAGTATATAACAAAATACTTACAGATTATAAATTTTATAATGATTTTTGTGCTTCGAATCTAGGAATCTGGAAAAAAAACACCATATGAGAAAACCTGAAATTACAGTATTTTCTTTTGGAGAGTGTGGTTGACAATGTCTAACTTAAGAAAACACTTTATCGTCAAAATATACAGTGGGATGAACTACAAGAAAAAAAAAGAGCTAGAGATTTTGCGCTTTTCCAACTGGACTTACCGAACCACATCATCTATATTGTTTCTGTAAACTCCCTCCAACCGTTCTGCAGGGAATCCCATGGCAATGATATTTGGGTAGATGTCTGATATGCTTGTTAAGGAAAATGAGGTGACTGTACAACACTTCACAAGACACAAGTTAAGATTATACTCACAAGTGACAAGAACAAAAACAAGATGAACATCAAAAAGACGTCAAGACATATATGCAGCAACATAAACAAGGAACTAGGGCTGGGCGATATGGCCTAACAAAAAACCCGATTTACGATTTAAATCGATTTTTTCCCCCCTACTTAAAATCAATCTGCAGATGACAAAGAAATTGTTCAAAACAAGTTTTAACTTTATTTTGTTTTAATTTTCCCTTCTGGGATTTGATCTGGATTTCCCCCTTGGGGTTAAAGTGCAAACAGAAACAGCGAATCGATCTTTTCCGGGATTTATTTCAGCACACATTTAAAATAAGATCTGATTAAGGTGAATCTTATCATTAGTCTTCTCCACTAGATGTCACCCTTATTTACCTTGCGTGATATTACAACAGAAAGCCTGTCATTCATTCAGCGCTCATCATGGCCTTACGCGCAATTCGCAATGCTCATGTGAAATGCTATAAGTAATACTATAAATCTGCGGAAGCATTTGATATCACACATAAGGCGCCATGATTTCCGCAATGAATGAATGGCGGATGGCGCGGCGCCACTTTGTTTACTACACACATACTAAAGCGCGGATGACGCTCGAGGTGTTTTCAGCTTCTGCCATCTCACTATATGATGATATGAACACGAATGTCATCTCGAATCGAAATCGAATCGAATCGGGACATCTGAATCGATACCCAGCCCTAATAAATAGCATGTCTTTTTATCAATCTGTCATCCCTGATATGCAATGCAATGCAAAAGAGGCCATCATTCTTTATCATTTACCAGTCAAATTTGTATCTGAGACAAGATGATTTCAAAAAAAGCAGGATTACCTTAATGCTGGAAAGACTAGCCCATCATGTATCTAACCATCCAAGTGCACATTCGGCGTTAAGAGATTAAAACGGGCAACTCTGCAGTGAGTTAGTGTCATGGAAATATAGACTAGAAAAGATATTTACACTTGCTCTGTCCAACGTCCATCTTGTAATGCCGCTGTTTTAGGAATTTATTTTTAAATATAAATTATTATTGGTAATAGAGCAGACACTGTCTGACCGTGTCTACACACCGGACGCGGCGACAGTTGTCTTGCCGCGCCCCGCTGCGCTAAAAGTCTGTCTACACTTGTTGACACTACAGTTGCAAATCATCTGAACGTAGTGTCAGTACAGTTCGTCATAAATAGAACGAGGCAGATGGGGATCGTGTCGCATCGCAAAATCTCTCTCACTCGGCAGCATGCCTCTGTTTGAGGTGCTGCAGTAAATTGGTCGTACTGCTACCTTTGCTAGCAACAGACTTCAAACACACTTTGCAGCGGGGTGTTTGTTCTGCGTCTGACGCCGCAAAACCGAACCAATTCCAAATTACGGATGACATTGTGCCTTTCTTTGGAACGAGTTCTTCCCTGCTCGCTGCCATGTTGTTTGTGTATCTCTATGGCAAACACGCGGGGGGAGGGCTGAGCCCATTCGGAACCACGGGAGCCCAGAGGGGAGCGTCGGCGGATGTTAAAGAGAAAAACGATTCTTTCAAACAAATCGACGTAAACTACACTTTCGAGTTAATCAATAAAATCGATTTATCGCCCAGCCCTAAAAGGAACGATATTGGATGTTTGGACAGAGATTCCCCTGAATATGTCATTACAGGCCAGGAAAAAAAATGCTGTAATAATGCAGTCAGTCTGGAGTTCAGATGGCTTGTAGCTTAACCAAGACTTCAAAATCAGCAAGTAGAAAACAAAGGCAAAACTTGTGATACAGATGCTCAGCTGTCTGTAAAGTGTAAATGTCACACTCTCACCATCATCATTAAGCATTGACCTTTAAGCAAAGTGTCAGACCGTAGGCACAGGAGTGTCTGCACTTTCTACCTACGCAAACCAGGTCAAACAGCTTCACAACTCTCAGCTACACCAACCAGGTGTCAAAGGTCACCAAGCAGCTAGAGCACTCAAACGCAGCTCACATGTAATCATGCAGCTTTTTGACACGGAGAGACAATGCAGTCTCCTCACAGAGCCTCATTCTCGTCCACACGTTCATTTCTCATTTCTACTGTATGCTCTCGCTCCCATGATGTGTGCAGACTCTGGGGGATGTTCACACCTCGACCACAACACGGTGGAGAAAGAGGGAGAAGCAGGGCTTCTCTGCTCTGTTCGTTTCCTGTCAGACACTGTCAGAATAGAAAGCCAGAAGCTTTTTAATTGGATGAGTCACGCTTATTTTTAGCCCAATTCCTTTAAAACGGTTAGCGACTCATGCATCATAACTACACTAGCTGGTGTTCAAAACCAATATACCCTGGACAAACCACAATGGACTGGGAAAAAAAGGCAAAAAGTGGGTGAATTTGCACTGTATTGTACTTGGAAAAGAAAATGTAATGTTTTTAAGGTTAGCACACCTCAAAACAAGATGGATGAGGAACAAAGCGTTTACAAGGATTCTCAAAGCGCAGTGGGACAATTGAAGCCCCTCCGACAACAAAATCAATAATCAAACTTCTTGCAAACAACCTGATTGTCTAATCGGTAACTGCAATACTGCAAGACAACTGCAAACGGTATTGTGCATCCCTACACCATCATAGTAACAATCACCACAAGGTCGCATGTGTTTTGGCAATGCCATTCATTGTCTTATACACATTTTATGCAAGTAAAGATGGAACTTCAATGTGAATAAAATAAACAATCAATCAAGGCATGTGTAAGTGTACCACAGACAGTAGAACAAGGTATCTGCATTGCATCCTTCTCCTTCATCAGCTGCTAAGCAGTATCTCAATGTCAGGCAAGCAATGTACACACACAGTCACACTGACAGAGCCAGCGGTTTTAACATGTAAACCATTTCCACCCAGAATGCTAAAACACCCTCCACCCTTCTGAACACAGCTGCATGAAAGCATACTGAAATGACACTTAAACCACTCACACATAGACAAAAAAAAATCTCAGAAATCAAGCAAAGGCAAAAAAAAAATCTTTCAATGATATAGAGCAACAGAGAACACCCTCATTTAAATAAATATCTCTAATGAAGAGACTGAGGCATTAAAAATCTGCAGCTCTGACAGCTTGTATGACATTTGACCTTTCCCAGCATGCTCAGTACGCCAGTGGTGTAGCTTTGCAAAACCAGAGGTGAGATTTACTGCAGCGAGGGGAGAAGGCAATGGTGGACACTGGACAACCATGACCATCACAGCTTTTAACAATGACCAGCTGGAGTTTTTGATTATTTAGAAAATCCCCAGAAGTTAGGATTTACCAACCTCACTTACAAATCTGATAGATTACTCTTATACTTGACATCTTCTCATCCCATTTAAAAATGCTTGTCTAAGACAACAGCAGGCCATTTACTGTCAAACACCTGACCTGCCACACTTCCTCAAAACTACGAGTCTTAGCAGCAGTAAAGTCAAACAGCTTGCTGGTGCAAAAACTGCACGAGAACAATCACATCTGCTTCTTTCTCTGAATCGTGAGTTAAAGGCAGGGTATGTGATTTTTCAAAAACACTTTAGAAAACTGATTCGGGCCGAATAGCCAAACAAACTTGTAGCCAATCAGCAATAAGGGGCGTGTCTACTCGTGATGTGGAGGAGAGAGCTTTCAGTGCATGGGACGGACATTAGCCGAGCACAGCGACAGAAAGATAGAGATGGCGGATAAAAAAACAAAAGAGGAAAACGTCTGCGGAACGACAAGGCAAGAAGTAGGACCCGTGTAAATATCGGATCAGCTTTCCAGAGAACTCAAGGAGCGGAGGCCTGCGATCGGACGCCGAGGTTGCTTTGTTTCTTCTCAATAGGTGAGTAACACAGTGTCTACAACAGCTAAAGTCTGCCTACACCGGACGCGATCAAACGACCGTTGAAAACCATTTGAAATGTATGTCAGCACGTCATAAATAGAACCCGGCAGCAGTTTTCTGTCGGGATTTGTTGCGCCGCGCCGCTCACGTCCGTAGACACGGTGTAACATTGGTTTTGCTTTGTTTCACAGAACTAATCGTTCCCTGGGTTGCGTATGTATATGTGGGGCGGAGCTATCAAAATAGGGGCAAGACCCTTTTGGGGTAGGGCCGTGTTTGTTTTGGTGATTTCAAATATCAACATTGGCTACCAGAAATCGCTTACTCTGCCTTTAAAAAAGACCTCACACCTTACCTGCATTCCCTTGCGCTAACGGTGTTTGCACACAAGGGCCAAATTGTTAGAACAAAAGGCCGTCTGATATTGGCCAGATGAAAATGAGGAAGAGGTCTAAATGCTGAGAGCAAATGAAGACCTAACATAATTCCTTCAACAGCCATGATGAGTTCACAATCAAAAGGGAATTTCCACCAAACTTGTTTTTCTGTGCACATAATTGCGTATTAACAATAAAATATTCCTTTTGTTTTATGGATTATAATTATACATCAACAACCAGGCCAAGCTGATTAATCAGCCGACATTTGGACATTTTGAGAGTTAGTTCAGTTTTGTCAGATCCTAATTTACGGACGGAGTTGGACATTTGATGAAGTCCCATGGCATACCGACCAACTCAACATTTCTTCACAAGTGTGTTTGGAAATCAACTGATTCAAAGATTTCTAAGAATAGCAAGGTTAGAACACACTCCACACTGCATTATCCATTAAGTCCACTGAATAGACCTCTCTTGTCTTTACATGATCAATAGTACTGTCATTAGCTAGTAGAAGAAATCACGGATTTGTCAATACACACTGATTTGTTCAATCTCTTCAGCAAACTGTTGTCATTGTTGTGCTAAGCACCTATTGAAGCTGTCAAACAGCAAAACACACTGATGTTCAACAAAATGACAGGGCATCCCAAACTGTATGTAAAACTGGCAGCCTGGAAGCTGTCAAACCAGATATCTGCATCTTACAAGATAGGTTTGAAAAAAGATGTTTCGTTATTAAGACAGTAAGAGCGTCATGACTAAGCATTTTAAAAAGGGTTTGCCTAACATATACGAAGACATTAAAATGAGGAAGCCATGTAGGGAAAGCATACCCATCATTCTCACAAAGCCTTATCGTTTACAAAATATGACACGCATATATAACAAAAAGCGTAAAGAAAAATAAAACAAAGTAGCTTAGACAGTAAATAGGAGTAAGTTAAGGATACACGTTAAGTCCAAATCGAACCCATCTTCTTGGTAGCGCCTCTTATTCCGACTGACTATTTCTTTAATTTTTGCAGTCATTGCCATGACAGCAGTTCAAAACACCTCAGTTTTATTCCGGTTTATTGTTAGAAAGGTGATTAACGTTAGTTTCCTCTCTCACCCTTGAGTGTGTGTGTGTGTGCGTGCGTGCGGACTGGCTTGGTGGGTCTCGCGCAGCGGGCCGGATTACAGCTTTTTGCAGACGGGCCTCTATCCGCTCCGGCGCAGCAGGCCCGACTCTATCGGTCCCGATCGCTCAGTCCTCCGAGCTGGTGAAAAGGTCCTCCGGTCCCGCGGCCCGGTCAAACCGAAATGCATCCGGTACAGTAACAACAATAGTAAGGCAGAAGTCTGTGTATCCGGCGCGCGCGCCGTGATCAGGTCCAGAGAGAGGAGCGAATCCTCTCCATCTCTGCGCGAAGAAGAAAACACACAGGCGAGCCTTTCCCGACTAGCATCGCCCGCTAGCCACCACTGCTAAACCGCCCCCCCTCCTCCTCAAAACCCTCCTAACGAATGATCATCGTCGTCGCTGGATGGCCAAGTTGGTTCCGTGAAAAATGACAACTGACAGTCTCCACCTGAACTGTGTTAGATCTGCGACGGTAGCCGCTGGAGAAGCGTGAAGATGTGCGGTCTATCGGCGGGACTCATCTCTCCTCAGGGCGCTCCGCTCAGTCTCAAACTGCCATCATGGCTTCCCACGGAGGAAAAAAGAACGTAAATCCGGCACGTTTACCCAGAGAGAAAAACATATCTTTCCGCCACGAGCAGAAATAGTGCGCGGACGCGTGCCGTTTAGTGTTCGAAATAAGCGATACGAGCAGTCACTTTTAAAAATATCAGCTGAAAAAAAAATTAAACATCTACAACACGCTGTGTAGAAGGGAAACGGGGTGACTTCCAAAGCGCAATGGTGATAAAGCGACATTCGAGTTGAAGGGCGGAAGGATATGAAAGTAAGGATGTACGCGGTGCTTCTCCCTGTCAGAGCGGTCACGTGCGCGCTCGGTGTCGGTGCATTGTTTTGTTCCGTGCAGAGCGCTGGTCTCACCCCCACATTCAGCCAATAGAGTGAGTAACCTATATTTTCGTAGATTATTTTACAGCGGAGTCTGTGGGCCTCGATGGTCCCTGATGGTGCACCGGGGGTCCACGGAGAAGATATATGAAACATGTAATTTTCTTGCATTCTCATTGCATTTATAACTATTAACTAATTTCCAACTTTAAAACTAATGCAGTGGTTCTCGACCGTTTTGGCCCCATTGTCGACAACAGGGCACCCTCTTATTGAGGATAAGAATTTTTGGAAAAAAAAAAAAAAGTTTTACTCACAATTTCTACCAGATATAATATTTTAGAGCTGTGGTGTAAAAATATATATTCATTATAAAATGACCATGTCGTTTTAAGATTTTATTTACACGTGTTTCCGGGTCTAGACGTCACACTTGGAAAATTAACTAATCAATTGAAATTGAAATTATTGATCTTGAGGCCTCATGGAAGATTTCTTGGATGAAAACCACTGAAGTAATTATCTGTTAAGAAATAATTGATTATTGTTAATATTGTTCAGCAAATAGTTATGTAAATGTTTATAAGTTATTATTAAGTTTTTTATATTGGGGGCCTCTTGGTTGACTGAGAGTCTGCAATGCATGATGTCTCTGTATCTATAATATTTTTTTAGTGTGTTAGAGTTAGGCCTGCTTACAACAAAAAACATTAAACATCTTCAGCAGCATTTTGAGAAATATGAGCACATAGGGTCAGGTCATTTAAGAGCTGGTTAAAGCATTGACACTGTAATAATTGACCTTGAGCCACCTGTTGTACACTACACTACAGTATTACTTGATGTTTAATTAATTATCAGCACTTATTCATTCATTCTCCTTTCACATGTATTATGAAAAAAGCGAAGCAAAATCTGAGCACCTTGAAGAATTAAGGGAATTTCAAAAGTAATTTGACACGTAAAATTCAATTAATCAGGGTTTTGGCCACATGTGTTAGTATTGAGAGTTATGTATAGTGCATACCTAAATGTTGTTCAAATTCAGTTTTTATTTACAGTAGCTGAATTATAATTAAAAGGAAATTATAACAATTATTTTTAATTGAAATGAAACTGAAATAAAATAAAACAAATGTAAACATTAAATGAAAAACTTTAAATAAAAATAAAAAATGTTGCCCTGGCACTGAACTGAAGTTTAAGTTGAAACAATTGTTAGTAAAATTACTAAATAAATAAATAAAAACTTTAATAAAAATAAATTAAACCTAAATAGTAATATTTTAAAAAATCTATAAAAATGAAAGCTATTTAAAAATATTAATAAATATGATAAAAGTATAAATAACACTAAAATAACACTGATATAAAAATGTGCCTGTTTCAACATGAAATAAGTGATATACAATTTCATGGGGTCTTTAAACCCATTCAGCATCCTTTATTAACCCTTTATTAAGTTTCACAACCTTGTTCCTAGAACACTTCTTGCAGTCTCCCTAATCAAAAACACCCGATTCAACTTGTTAGTACTCCAAGACTTAAAATGAGTAAGGGAGACATCCAAAAAGTGTTATGGGGGGTGGTGGCACTAGATTTAGGGAAATGGGTGAGTGTGTCCTGTCCTTAACCCAAAGTAGGTCTCCGTGCTCTGGCTGCTTATTTTCTAGATGCTTGTTCCCTGGGAAAATCCATGCCACACATCCTGTGCATACTCACTGTAACCTTTTCAGAATTGCACAGCACTGCACCTGCAGTTAGCAGATTTAAATAGGGTAACCTAGAACATATTGAATCTAATGCTCTCATCCGCACTAAGTCTAATTGGGAATCTCCTAAAGCCATTTGGGAATGGGTCTAGCGGAGCACACTCACAGCCCTGCTCCCTAAATCCATCCATCCGTCATCTTAGGATTTATTCACCCATAACAGATTTTGAGACTATGTTCTAGGGCGTATTATGCCTGCATTCGGCCCATGACCGCATATAAACCAATTATGAACTGCTTTTTGCATCATTCGGGAATGAAAAGTTCCACAAAATAGTTTGCTTATGTACTGTAACTGTTAGCTGAAGTTATATTTCAGTACTCAACGCTAAGGATTTTTTCTACCCAGTCGGGCCAGTGGTTCAAATTTTTTACTTGCCCTGCCAATATTTTCACTGGCCCTGCCACAAAAAAAAAAAAAAAAAGTTGCTGTTATCATTGTTTTTTTACCTATGTTATCTTTTATTATAATTCATAAGCTTATTTGACACCAAAAGTTTAAATACCAATTAAATTTTACAATTCTCTATTCCAATTTCGATACCACAGCAAAAACTATAGCCTAACAAGTATAAAGTTCAAACATTATTAAAGACAAGTGAAGAGTAAGTGAATAAGAACAAATGAACAAATTACAAGCAATAGCACAACTGAATATATAGAACAAAGATACAAATGAAATGATGCTTTAGGAAAAACAGCACGTGCCACGTGGCGCTTATGGAACAGCAGTGATACAGCGTTTCCTTGGTTACCGCGAGATACATTCATATAAACTCCCAATTCAATATTTAGGATTTTCTTTCAATATTTCGTGCATTATGAACAGTGAGCTTGCTCTGCCTGCCTGCGACAATATTTTCTCCTTTTTGCGTCCGTCTTCAGCACCTCTGGCCTCTGTTAATGGCCGTTTACACTCTTCGTAATATTGCCACACAAATGACATTTTGGAAAATGCAGTTTGTGTGCAAGCCCGGATCAGAAATCGGTTGAAATAAAGGAAAAAATGGGTAGTCGACTGGTGCATCTGTACTCCACTGTATAAATTAAATATAGATTAATGTGCTGTATGTAAGTTTTTGACTCTACTAAAGCATAAAAATACCATAATATGTTTGCAGATATTTAAGAAACATGCTAAGTTAACATATTTGTTTTTCTGAAAAGCAATGCTACAGTCTTTTATTTGCCTTTGAAAATGTGCGTTGCGGGCAGAGCATGTGAGCGCTCAGTCGCTCTAACCGGCCAAGCAAGCGCTCCGTTAATATTCCGCTCACGCTCACCGTAAACCAATTCCCGCTCAGATCCCGCTCCGTTCTGTAAAGAACAAATTTGCGTGCATTATATTAGATTATAAATTACTGCTGCCTATATCTAGCCTACAGATATACGTGTACGCTCAAACGTTGTCCTCGCATCACTGAAGAGCAGCTTTTTTTTCTAATTCAGTTGAAGAGTAGGCTTTACTCACTAAATGGAAGCAAGCTGATTATAGTCAGCCTTCTCTAGTTATTTATTTTATTATTTAATACTTATTTTAGTTAAGTTCTTAAATTGTAAATATGCATTTATTAAATTATTTTATTTAGTGCATTTGTATTTTGTTGTTTTTGTATATAGTTATGCAATAAAAGCGTATCAACCAGGTTCCAGAAATAATCACTGAGGGTGCTTCTGAAATTAGTGAGGGTGCTCTAGTCTTAATGCACATTTTCACATATTTTGTCCCGGCTATTGCTATGGTTATCACTATGTCAATCACTGCTACTTTGAGAGCAAATCCCGCATAAATATGCGGATGTCATTCCCGAAACTTTACAACGTGTGTGTGGCCGAAAAACAAAGTTTACATTTTAAATGGATTACAAGCCTAGAAAACTCGCAAAGAGTGCTCTTTATACCCACTAAAAAGCTGTCACTCTTTGTTCATCGCGATCTCACAAAGTTCTGTTATGACCAATGAATCTCACACTGCACAATTAACATATTATTAGCAGCGTGTATACTTTATGTTATCATGAAAGGATTCGATTGTATAACTCAGCACGGAACAAAAACTGGTGTGTTGCAGCCTTTAGATATGAGAGAACCCCAGTATATTCATGAGAATGATGAAATTGTTTTCACTTGAGTAAAGCCTTGAAGTCCTTTTAAGTGTTTTTCTTAATTGAATATGTACAATTTCTCATAAGTTAACAAAATTTATTTGATATAAAGAAAAAACTTGAACTTAATCTATACATTGGGTTACATTGATAAATATTGCATAATCCCTGGTGTTTGCATAATTTTTCCCATGGTGCTATGTGGGTTCTGTACACTGGTGACCACAAGATGGCAGTAGAGAGTCAATGTTTATGTGGATGTGCACAGCATATCTCATTTACTCCATCCATCTGTTAAATGTAACTTTTGCCCTGGTTTCAGAGAACAGAAAGCAAGCTGTACATACAGTCACGCACTGTGAACATCTCAAATCAGCCACATGTTCACAATTATGTTATCACAGTGAAAAGCTTTAATTAAAAGAGATAAGATATACAGAATAGCCAAATGGCATTATATTGCATTCGCTGTTAAATGTTTAATAAAACAGTGTTATTCATTATTGTCTTTGAATGAATAAAAAAAAAATGTAAACAAAATTATTATGGTTACAGGGTGAAATCTGACTGCATTTGTGGCTGCATGAACACTGGTTGATATATATGTCAACTAAAAGTTTGGGGTCAGTAAGATTTTTTAAAAGAAAATAATATATTTAGCAAGATACATTAATCAAAACTGACAGAAAAGAAGTGTATATTGTTACAGAAAATTTCATCAAAGAATATTGTAAAGTTATCACAGTTTACACAAAAATATTAATCAGTACAACTGTTTTCAGCATTTATTATAATAAATGTTTCTTGAGCACCAAATCAGCATATTACAATGATTTCTTATGGATCATGTGAGACTGAAGACTAATGCGATGGCTACTGAAAATTCAGCTTTGCCATCACAGGAATAAATTACATTTACATGTAAAAATCTTATCGACCCCAAACTTTTTAACAGTAGAGTACTTGCTTCATTTAGATTACAATTGATGTACTTTTTCTTTTAAGTGCTTTCTAAAGCTTACAAGACATGTTTCTAAATACAATTTAAGAACAAGATCTCATAATCTCTTTGGGATTGACAATCTGTTAATCAAGGCACATCAGTTTAAATGTCACAGTTGAAAAAACATGTTCATATTTCCAGTTAAAAACAATTCTGTAGTAAAATAATTCTTCACAGGAAATCTTGACCACCTTTGCTACCAGCTTGTTGTAAGTATATGCCTTAATTTTTCAATGCCTCGATGTAGTTTATTGTGCTGAGTCATTCTCAATGTGGACCATGTGCACTGTGATCTGAGGTTTTCTGTTTGTTGGAACTTCTTGTATGTGTCATCACTCATCTTTCTGTAGAGAAGTGTAATACTCTGTGAGGACCTTCCAGGCTTTAGGGGCCATGAAGCCATCTGGAGGATTCTCTCCACTGCGGGCCAGTTTGCGCATCTTGGTCCCAGAGATGAACTCAAAATCAGCATGTCTGCATTGTTTGAAAAAAAAGAGAGGTAAAAGCAGCCTGCTTTTCATGGTTCAGAATCACTAAGTAACCACTTTACATTCAAATAAGGTTTGCTTAAGTTCCTGGTTATTGGTAAAAGACATTTACATACATCACATGCACATTCATCTCTTCATGTTAATTTCTTATCAAATGCTGGAAATGCTCTGTCTTTTTTGTTATTATTATTATTAATTTTGCACAGTGATTTAATCGATGAGCACAATGAATTGAAATATCATAAGTCAAGTGTTGCTTACTGTGTTTTTACTGGTCTGTATATTAAATCACATTCATTTATTTTAATGTGTTTGATTTATTTTGTATTTTCTTTCCTCCTAAATGTTACTCTGCAATTGGTGATAACATTTTTATGTGCATGTAAATGTGGTCAGTTTGTAGCATAAACCATTGCTATAGCCACTTACAGGAATAGTTCACCCAAAAATTAAAATCTGCTGAAAATGTACTCCTCAGGCCACCCAAGATCTTAATGAGTTTGTTTTTGCATCGAAACAGATTTGGAGAAATTTAGCATTACATCACTTGCTCACCCAAAGGTCCTCTGCAATGAATTGGTGCTGTCAGAATGAGAGTCCAAACAGCTGATAAAAACATCACAATAATCCACAAGTAATCCAAATGGCTCCAGTCCATCAAATAATGTCTTGTGAGGCAAAAAGCTGTGTGTTTATAATAAACAAATCCATCATGAGTTGTGTGGATTGCTTGAGGATTATTGTACTGTTTTTATACAATAAAAACAGTACAATAATTAGCTGTTTGGACAGACACTCTCACACTGCAGAGGATCCATTGGTGAGCAAGTGATGTAATGCTAATTTCTTCTAAATCTGTTCTGTGAACTTTCATTCAATTTTTAGTTCATTTTCATTTTTTTGAGTACACTATTACTTTATTGGATCCCAATAAGAGAGAGTTATAAGCAGTATGCTTTAACATATTTTAAATACTGTTAAACTGCTGTACTTTATGCAATTCAGTCTCACCTGTCTTTGTCATAGAAGTCCATGCCATGGACAGACCATGAGATGGATCATACAGGTCCTGTCTTGACTCTGGGTGGGGCATCCCAGCAGGATCAGCAGGATCACCTGGGTGGGGCATCCCAGCAGGATCACGACCCACAATGTAGAAATTAGAACCTGATACCATCCTTGCACGGCAGTGCCACTGGACCTGACAGACACATGGAAAAGGTTAGCTATTTGTAAGGGTGGCACTTATATGTTATGGGTGAAATGACAGGAGTTCATGGGAATTTTTGGAGACATCCGAAATCACATACTGCCCAACAACATTGCGATACATTCGATACATTCATCATACTATATAGAACATACTGTTTTTAATGGTCGCAAAGTAATTACTTATTCCTAATATTCCTAATATTACACTACCATTCAAAAGTTTGGGGTTGTTAAGATCCTTAAAACAAGAAAGCATTTATTTGATCAAAAATGCAGTAAAAACAATAATATTGTGATATAATTACAATTTAAAAAAGAACTGTTTTCTATTTAAATATATATTCAAATGTAATTTATTCCTGTGATGGCATTACTCCAGGCTTTGTGTCACACGATCCTTCAGAAATCATTCTAATATGCTGATTTGTTGCTCAGAAAAACCATTTCTTATTGTTATCAAATGTTGAAAGCAGTTGAATCCCGCATAAATATGCGGATGTCATTCCCGAAACTTTGCAACGTGTGTGTGGCCGAAAAACAAAGTTTACATTTTAAATGGATTATAAGCCTAGAAAACTCGCAAAGAGTGCTCTTTATACCCACTAAAAAGCTGTCACTCTTTGTTCATCGCGATCTCACAAAGTTCTGTTATGACCAATGAATCTCACACTGCACAATTAACATATTATTAGCAGCGTGTATACTTTATGTTATCATGAAAGGATTCGATTGTATAACTCAGCACGGAACAAAAACTGGTGTGTTGCAGCCTTTAGATATGAGAGAACCCCAGTATATTCATGAGAATGATGAAATTGTTTTCACTTGAGTAAAGCCTTGAAGTCCTTTTAAGTGTTTTTCTTAATTGAATATGTACAATTTCTCATAAGTTAACAAAATTTATTTGATATAAAGAAAAAACTTGAACTTAATCTATACATTGGGTTACATTGATAAATATTGCATAATCCCTGGTGTTTGCATAATTTTTCCCATGGTGCTATGTGGGTTCTGTACACTGGTGACCACAAGATGGCAGTAGAGAGTCAATGTTTATGTGGATGTGCACAGCATATCTCATTTACTCCATCCATCTGTTAAATGTAACTTTTGCCCTGGTTTCAGAGAACAGAAAGCAAGCTGTACATACAGTCACGCACTGTGAACATCTCAAATCAGCCACATGTTCACAATTATGTTATCACAGTGAAAAGCTTTAATTAAAAGAGATAAGATATACAGAATAGCCAAATGGCATTATATTGCATTCGCTGTTAAATGTTTAATAAAACAGTGTTATTCATTATTGTCTTTGAATGAATAAAAAAAAAATGTAAACAAAATTATTATGGTTACAGGGTGAAATCTGACTGCATTTGTGGCTGCATGAACACTGGTTGATATATATGTCAACTAAAAGTTTGGGGTCAGTAAGATTTTTTAAAAGAAAATAATATATTTAGCAAGATACATTAATCAAAACTGACAGAAAAGAAGTGTATATTGTTACAGAAAATTTCATCAAAGAATATTGTAAAGTTATCACAGTTTACACAAAAATATTAATCAGTACAACTGTTTTCAGCATTTATTATAATAAATGTTTCTTGAGCACCAAATCAGCATATTACAATGATTTCTTATGGATCATGTGAGACTGAAGACTAATGCGATGGCTACTGAAAATTCAGCTTTGCCATCACAGGAATAAATTACATTTACATGTAAAAATCTTATCGACCCCAAACTTTTTAACAGTAGAGTACTTGCTTCATTTAGATTACAATTGATGTACTTTTTCTTTTAAGTGCTTTCTAAAGCTTACAAGACATGTTTCTAAATACAATTTAAGAACAAGATCTCATAATCTCTTTGGGATTGACAATCTGTTAATCAAGGCACATCAGTTTAAATGTCACAGTTGAAAAAACATGTTCATATTTCCAGTTAAAAACAATTCTGTAGTAAAATAATTCTTCACAGGAAATCTTGACCACCTTTGCTACCAGCTTGTTGTAAGTATATGCCTTAATTTTTCAATGCCTCGATGTAGTTTATTGTGCTGAGTCATTCTCAATGTGGACCATGTGCACTGTGATCTGAGGTTTTCTGTTTGTTGGAACTTCTTGTATGTGTCATCACTCATCTTTCTGTAGAGAAGTGTAATACTCTGTGAGGACCTTCCAGGCTTTAGGGGCCATGAAGCCATCTGGAGGATTCTCTCCACTGCGGGCCAGTTTGCGCATCTTGGTCCCAGAGATGAACTCAAAATCAGCATGTCTGCATTGTTTGAAAAAAAAGAGAGGTAAAAGCAGCCTGCTTTTCATGGTTCAGAATCACTAAGTAACCACTTTACATTCAAATAAGGTTTGCTTAAGTTCCTGGTTATTGGTAAAAGACATTTACATACATCACATGCACATTCATCTCTTCATGTTAATTTCTTATCAAATGCTGGAAATGCTCTGTCTTTTTTGTTATTATTATTATTAATTTTGCACAGTGATTTAATCGATGAGCACAATGAATTGAAATATCATAAGTCAAGTGTTGCTTACTGTGTTTTTACTGGTCTGTATATTAAATCACATTCATTTATTTTAATGTGTTTGATTTATTTTGTATTTTCTTTCCTCCTAAATGTTACTCTGCAATTGGTGATAACATTTTTATGTGCATGTAAATGTGGTCAGTTTGTAGCATAAACCATTGCTATAGCCACTTACAGGAATAGTTCACCCAAAAATTAAAATCTGCTGAAAATGTACTCCTCAGGCCACCCAAGATCTTAATGAGTTTGTTTTTGCATCGAAACAGATTTGGAGAAATTTAGCATTACATCACTTGCTCACCCAAAGGTCCTCTGCAATGAATTGGTGCTGTCAGAATGAGAGTCCAAACAGCTGATAAAAACATCACAATAATCCACAAGTAATCCAAATGGCTCCAGTCCATCAAATAATGTCTTGTGAGGCAAAAAGCTGTGTGTTTATAATAAACAAATCCATCATGAGTTGTGTGGATTGCTTGAGGATTATTGTACTGTTTTTATACAATAAAAACAGTACAATAATTAGCTGTTTGGACAGACACTCTCACACTGCAGAGGATCCATTGGTGAGCAAGTGATGTAATGCTAATTTCTTCTAAATCTGTTCTGTGAACTTTCATTCAATTTTTAGTTCATTTTCATTTTTTTGAGTACACTATTACTTTATTGGATCCCAATAACAGAGAGTTATAAGCAGTATGCTTTAACATATTTTAAATACTGTTAAACTGCTGTACTTTATGCAATTCAGTCTCACCTGTCTTTGTCATAGAAGTCCATAGCCTTCTTGGTCTTATTGTATGCAGCCACTCTGAAGGGGATAATTTCCACAGAGGTGAGTCCAGGGGACATGGACAGAACTTTACCTCCATGAGATGGATCATACAGGTCCTGTCTTGACTCTGGGTGGGGCATCCCAGCAGGATCACGACCCACAATGTAGAAATTAGAACCTGATACCATCCTTGCACGGCAGTGCCACTGGACCTGACAGACACATGGAAAAGGTTAGCTATTTGTAAGGGTGGCACTTATATGTTATGGGTGAAATGACAGGAGTTCATGGGAATTTTTGGAGACATCCGAAATCACATACTGCCCAACAACATTGCGATACATTCATTAACACAATCATACTATATAGAACATACTGTTTTTAATGGTCGCAAAGTAATTACTTATTCCTAATATTACTTTATTTACACTACCATTCAAAAGTTTGGGGTTGTTAAGATCCTTAAAACAAGAAAGCATTTATTTGATCAAAAATGCAGTAAAAACAATAATATTGTGATATAATTACAATTTAAAAAAGAACTGTTTTCTATTTAAATATATATTCAAATGTAATTTATTCCTGTGATGGCATTACTCCAGGCTTTGTGTCACACGATCCTTCAGAAATCATTCTAATATGCTGATTTGTTGCTCAGAAAAACCATTTCTTATTGTTATCAAATGTTGAAAGCAGTTGTGCTGCCTATTATTTTTGTGAAAATGGATACTGTTTTTTTCTGATTCTTTGATAAATAAAAAGTTCAAAAGAACAGCATTCATTTGAAATAAAAATCTTTTGTTTATAATAACATTATAATGGCCTTCAGTGTCACTTTTGATCAATTTAATGCATCCTTGCTGAATAAAAGTAATAATTTCTTTCAAAAAAAATTTTGATCCCAAAACTTTGAACGGTGAACTATAAAGTGCTTAAAAATTATTGCCATTTAGTATTTCATTTTCCTATGTGTATGTGAAAGACAACTGTCTTCATACCTCTGTAGGCCCAGCGTACATCATAGGGGAGGGAAAGATGGCCACAATGGTGGATTGTGGGTCTAGAATGCCATCCTCCAGCACGGCTGCATGTTGTTTCATCCTCCAATCCAGAGGCACGTCATCATCTTTGGTCCAGCCACCCAAAGGATGCAAAAGTAGCACTGGCCTTCGATACCCACGTTCCTCCAATCGTCGACGCGTGTCAGTCATAAGCAGGGCATGGCCATTGTGCACCGGGTTCCTGAGCTGAAAAGCAAACACTGCATCTGGGAAAATAAAGGAATTGTCAATTCCAGTGCTTTAATTAGTTGTTGCATAACCATGGTGAAATCCAGAATATCATACTTTTTTCAAGAGGGAGCTAAGCACATACAAAGCCGGAAATCCAAGACACTCATGTGGGGTATCAAATTAACAACTTTGATTTCTTATTTGACTTTTTCAAATTGACACCAGCCAATGAATACTTGACATGTGGTAAACATGTGACTTCTTTTAGCCACACCATATCTAATAGTCTTTTTGCTGCAATCCACATGCTTTTTCAAGCCAAAAAAGTGTCAATTGTGTTTTTTTTAAATGTGGGTTTAAAAGCCCAATTTTATTATTATTACATTTTTAACATTGTGCCCTACATGAGCGGTTTGGATTCCTTGATTCATATACAGCCAACACCCCCGATGCAATATCTTGCTGCCATATTTTTTGCCGACAAGAACCTGTTTGGCCACATGGTTTTACAAAATCACATCCTAGATCTAGAATGACAGTGATTTTCATTGGAGATGCGTGGGTACTGCAAACCTTAATTAAGTTTAAAGTGTCTTCAGAAGATCATTCTGTAAACGTAGTTACTTGTTAACTCTTAACCGTCCTCTTTAACCCATTTGCTTTTACCTGCTTTCATCTCTTTAAATTTCTGCTTCAGCTCCTGTGGAGTGAGACGGTACTGATCCAGCCCATCATTCCATCTGATTCGCTCCAATACCTCTAGCTCACCTCCTGCCAGCCAATCACCGCTTTCCAAAACCATCTGTTCACAGGTGAGCAGTTAAAGCATGTATTTAGTGTGCATTTGCAAGTTAAAACAATCAACCATTGCAACAGCTGTATTTAAATATATATATATATATATATATATATATATATACAGTGGGTCAGAAGAAATGGACAGCGCCTGAGTTAAATATATGAGTGTCACATCAAAGGGTCTGAATACTTAGGACCATTTGATATTTCAGTTTTTCTTTTTTAATTAATCTGCAAAAATGTCAACAATTCTGTGTTTTTCTGTCAATATGGGGTGCTGTGTGTACATTAATGAGGAAAAAAAAATTAACTTAAATGATTTTAGCAAATGGCTGCAATATAACAAAGAGTGAAAAATTTAAGGGGGTCTGAATACTTTCCGTACCCACTGTATATATATATTACGAATTTCAGTAAGAAATCCTTTTTTTATTTTAATTATTAATATTATTTAAAAGACAATTTTCTGCTGTTTCTGAGCCCTCTTTTCTGGTATATTATTAATTTAACTGTATTAAGCTGAGACTTAATAGAAAGAAAGTTTAGAGAAGGTTTCCCTCAATACTTTGGAGGTTTGTTATACATTGATTCTCAAGGTATTTGGCAAATTCATACCTTTATATAAGGGTGTTTGGGGCAGGTTATCCCCCATTGGCGAGCACATCGCTCTTCTTTTCGATGCTCAAAGAACTCTGGGTTGCGTAAGATGGCGACACGTTTTCCCTGGTACTCCAGAGCCACAGCCATGCTGCCTTGTAGACGTTCTTTAATCTCCGTGGCAACAGGAAGGACAATGGGTACTGAGAGGTTGATGGTACCACCTGTATTTAGGAATAGGTAAGTTAATCTGCATAGAAATAATTTTAAAGAGATGACTAAAATCACAGAAACTATTTCTTTATAATTATTTTTAATTTTTTTTAATTATAGAAAAAACCTACCCAAATACCCCTTAACACATAACATCTAAATTCGATATGCATCAATAGCTGCCTGCTCCGCTAACAATGTATATTATATACATTTTGAATGTTATTTGCTTGCATGCAATTGCAACTACTATTAAAAAATACAGCCTCCTCCCCTGACCGATGTTCACTGTCCAACCCAATTAAACCAAACAAAGCATGAGAATTTCACAGGAAGCCAGATCATTGCATCATTCTGTGTCCTGAAAGCAGCTTCAGCTCTGGCAACTGCTATTTTATGCATGAAACATCTTCTAAATACCAGTGCAGAGCTTATATCAGCCTTCTGCTGCTGGTATAAGTACCATTGCCAGCATGAAGACAATTAACCCAACTAAGTCTGATTGCTGTGTGTACTGCAGAATAAAAATGAGTTGTGCTATTAAATGGAGGAAAATGGAGGGAGGTGTTTAGTACCGCAACAAGAGACTGGCGATGGCTAAAACGTTTCACCTCTGGTTTTAAATGTGTGTGCTTGTATGTTACCATCCAGTAGGGTGTTGAAGTGAATGACTTGTAGGTATTCTCTCTCCCTCATGAAGCCCTTCAGAGGACTAGCCCATCCTTCAGCCAACACCTGCACCCATTGTAAGTCCAACTGCACACACAAATACAGAGAGCTGTGTTTACAAACAGAACAGTTAGCTAATATTGTATTCTTCTAAAAGCCTGTTCGTATTAATTGCCTGTAGGATTATATAACATCATGGAATAATAGGTGTGAGTTACTTTTAGGAACAGCATTCAAATCGGTATTGTTGTGGTTTCTGGAATAAATTTGCATTTTAAATTAGGGAACAGCACACTGTTCTTGGGCTGATAAAGCAGTTGTGTGTCATCTTGCCAATAATTCAGTCATATTTATGAACATGATTGATCCCTTGCCTTGAGGATGAATGCTACTGGTTACCTTGGTGATGCTGATAGAGGGCAGGGTGCTGGCGTCTGTCTGTGCCACCTTGAGGTTGTTTTCAGGCACAAAGAGTTCATTAATCTCCTCTACAACTCCACTGGGAACGATGCTCTAAGATAGAGAAATCATCAAAGGGTTGAATGAATATACTGTATTTTCCATCTAATGGCATGTGCAGTTGTTACCATAAGGAGCTATTTTTATCTGATCTGCCCGTAAAAATGACTTTCATTGCTGTAATTGCAATGTTGTCAGGTTTGTTCAGTTATAGTATACGTGACTTCCTTGATGTGAATAAAAGCAGGTCATTAAAATTAACTAAATATTTTTACAAAAAATATTTTTTATTGTGTTTAATGGGAAGGTGAAGATTTTAAGTGGAAAAACTGCATGGATTATTTTTTTGTTATCAACATGGCTTCAGAAGACTTGGACTGTAACTCACGAGCTATACACTATTTTATGGTGCACAACTCTTGCGTAAATTATAAACTTATTGTATCGAAAAGATTCTTAAATTACAGTAGTGTTCAAAAGTCTGGGGTCGTTATGATTTTGAAATGTTTTTGAAAGTTTCAACAAGGCTGCATTTTTTAAGAAAAAATACTATACTATAGTAATATTGTGAAATATAATTATAATTTAAAATAACTATTTTCATATATTTGTATTTTCATATATTTTAAAATGTAATTTATTCCTGTGATGGCAAAGCTAAATGTTCAGCTGCCATTATCTAGTCTTCAGTGTCACATGATCTTTCAGAAATTATTCTAATAAGCTGATTTGGTGATCAAAAAACATTTCTTATTATTATCAACCACAGTTCTGCTGCTTAATATGCTAATTATTAACATGTTTTTTTCAGAATTTTTGCTAAATAGAAATTGTTGTCTGTAACTCTTTTTTATTGCAGTATGTCTGTCAATTTATTATGTCTGTCAATTTTGATCAGCTTAATAAATCTTTGCTGAATAGAATACAAGTATTAAGTTCTTAAATAGAAAAAAATTCTGACCCCAAACTTTTGAACGGTAGTGTATTTTTGTGTTCCACAGAAGAAAATGACCACACCATAGGTTTAGAATGACATGAGGGTGAGCAAGTAATGACAGAATTTTATTTTTGGGAGAACTATTCCTTTAAGGAAGAACGGATTTATTTTTACAACAAGTGCACTGGAGTAAAATATCCTGCACTATCTACTAATGTTGTGCCCTTCAGACAGATATGTTGACAGAGGCTTGCAGGTGGTTATACTGGTTTCAACTATGGACTTCTGACCATGAGGTACTCCAAAGATAAAGGTACAAGCACCAATCGGGAAATGGCAGATGAAAGGTATTCTTAAAGGGGTGCTATTATGCTTGTTCACGTTTTCAACTTTAGTTAGTCTGTAATGTTGCTGTTTGAGCATAAAAAAGATCTGCAAAGTTACAAAGCTCAAAGTCCAATTTAAAAGGAGATATTTTATTTAACAGAAATCACTTTTCAAAAACTACAACGAACGACTCGTTTGGACTACAACGCATATTTTCCGGGATTTGTGATATCACAAAGATCGACGAATGGGACGAGACCTGGTTGAGCTGCACTAGAGAAGGCAACGAGTGTTATCACTATGTCGGAGACACGCTAGTTTTCACAAGGCAGACGAACTTAGAGTGCTTACAATCATCCAGGTTTAAATCGCGCTTAAATTGATTTGATCAATATTTACACTGAAGCTTGTAGGCGCTATGGTAAGGGCCATGACATTTCCCAGTGCTGCCAATCACAACACACACTGGCCCAGCTAACCAATCACAGCACATTTCGTATTTCAGAAGGCGGGCCTTCATTTGATACAGGAACTATTCGAGCCGTTCATGCCAGACTGGGGAGAGAGGTGCTGTAATAATGTAAAATATGTGAAAAATAATGTGTTTTTCGAACAACCTAGTATGAGAGCCTGTTCTAGTACACCCCCAAAACAAGATCAAGACTTTGTAAAAGAGCATAATAGGACCCCTTTAAGCCTGTGTTCAGCTCCTGACTAACCTGCTCCTTCAAAAGGTCTACCAACTGCTGAATGCATTCGTTCACTGTGAGCTCTCCGGTCTTCAGAATCAGCTTAGGAGCATCTGGACACTCATACTCAGAATCTATACCGGTGAAGCCTGTGTGAGAAATGAAGGAAGGCAAATAAATGTTTTGTTTGTAAAAAATGTGTTTTTTTCTAGATTTTTTTACTTACTTTTTGGAACTGCACAGTTTTAAAGTTTCGATGTTTTTTTTAATATTACCTTTAATCTCTCCTGCTCTTGCTTTTTTGTAGAGTCCTTTAACATCTCTGCTCTCGCACACCTCCAGAGGAGCGTTCACAAACACCTCAAAAAATGGCAAACCTGCTTTCTCATGGATCGTCCGGGCCTCCTCACGGTCCTGCAGAGGCAAGATGTTGAGCATTATGTATTTTAAGAACATTTTTTATTAGAAATGGTTTAATTAGAAAATTAAAACACAGTGTTTGTTTCTCCGTGTGTTTACATATTCATTTGTCTGCTTTGGTTATTTTATGTCACTTTGAACATCAGAATCTGCTAAAATGAATTCTGCAGTGGGTTTAAAACCTCTCAAAACATACTGATAATGTTGTGATCCTAGTCTTGTGACTTTGATTTAAAACCTGATTTAACCAGTTTCACAGTATTAGTGATAAAACAATCCCAATCGTTGGGTTGTTAGCTCACTTTGGTAAACGGTGAGATGAAACTTGTAATGCAAACAAGCCCAGCATCTGCAAACAGTTTGGCCACTTCAGCAATACGGCGAATATTCTCCTCTCGATCCACAGAAGTAAAGCCGAGGTTCTTATTCAGGCCGTGACGAATGTTATCACCATCCAAAGAGTAGCAGGGAATGGCGTGAGAGACCAGATACTCCTCTAAAGCGAATCCCACCGTTGTCTTACCAGCCCCTGACAGACCTGTGTACACACACAAAGTAATTCCTTACACTTGGAATACGGCGAATATTCTCCTCTCGATCCACAGAAGTAAAGCCTAGGTTCTTATTCAGGCCGTGACGGATGTTATCACCATCCAAAGAGTAGCAGGGAATGGCGTGAGAGACCAGATACTCCTCTAAAGCGAATCCCACCGTTGTCTTACCAGCCCCTGACAGACCTGTGTACACACACAAAGTAATTCCTTACACTTGGATATAATTTGATTTGGCTTTGTTAAACTTACACTGCTGTTTAAAAGTTAGGAAAAATGACTAATTGTGATTAATTCATGATCATGACAATCATTAATTTTTTCACTTTCTTTTCAAGTAAAGAAAACAAAAAATGTGTGCAAGTTGTTATCAGGAACAAGGAACATGTTTCTGGTTCATGTTCATGAAGTGAAACTTGAGCCACACTGAGGGGGTAGTGGAGGTACAGAAGACAAAAATCTGTATTGAAAAACCCAGTGTGCTGAAAAACTTTATAGTCAGCGCCTGGGGTTTCAAGTTCAGACCAACTTGCTTTGCAGGTGTCACAGGTTTGTGAAATGATTTCCCGAGATCTGCCTAGCCTGACATCTTGTGTCATTGCTGTTTTTAAACAGATGCATGTTTTGGATTTCTTTATTCAAATTTGCTGGATGTGGTTTGTGTGTTTATTTTAACAGTTGTTTGTGTGTGTGTGTGTGTGTGTGTCCATGCATTCATTACCTGTGAGCCAGACTGTACATCCTCTGAAACCTCTTCTGGTTCCCACGACCTGCCCTCTCTTGCTGCGGCTGACATGATGGGCCTGGTAAACCACATTAGTGGACTTTTGCAGAACCTACAAACACACATGCATAGTACATACCAACGTTTAGAGCAAATTTTAGTGTAGTATTAGAATTTTATATATCTAAGCACATGAATACACAATGAGCTTTGATACTCCATTTACATTTTCAACTTAAGTTATATTTACGCCTTTGGTAGACACGTTTGCACATATTGATATCAAGAAAGTTTTCTTTTTTTTTTTTTTGTGGTTCCATTAATGATTATTTTACACCTTTAAGGAATTAAAAAAAAAAAAAAAAATGCAAACAATTTATGCAAAAGTTGCATTTATGCACATTTTTAATGCCTTTTTTACAGTGTTTTAGAAGCTGTTCAGTTCTGGTATTTAATAGCAACTGCTTCCAGGCTGAAGCTTTCACGAGAATCTGTTTCCTTGATTTTTTTTAAAGAAGAAATGAACACTTTTATTTATCAAGAATGAATAAAATCAATAATCATAATTTTACAGAGGATTTCTATTTCATATAAATGCTGTTCTTTTGAACTTTCTATTCATCAAAAAATCTTGGAAAAAAATTTGCATGGTTTCCACAAAAATATTAAATATTAACGGTTTTCAAAATTGATAATAAGAACTGTATATCTTGAGCACCAAATCAATATATTAGAATGATTTCTGAATTCAGCTCCCATCACAGGAAGAAATTACATTTTAATATAAAATATAAAATAGATAATATAATATAAAATATAAAAATAAACATATAAAAATAGAAAGTAACTATTTTAAACTGTAATAATGTGAAACACTGCTGTTTTACTGTATTTTTGTATCAAATAAATGCAGCCTTGGTGAACATAAGAGACTTCTTTCAAAAACATCTCACCAACCCCAAAATTTTGAATGGTATTTGTGTGGGGGGAAGAAATCAAAGCAATGGACACAATTTTTCCAATATGTCTTTAGTATTCACAAAGATGAAACAGATATAAATCACACAGTGTGCTGTAAAGAATTAACTTTCACTCTATGAAATTTAAGAAAGGATGAAGAAATAAGTACTTAATATAACAGTGTGTGTTACAGCTATTGGTCTCAGATTGGGGGTCATTAATGCAATGTGGTCAATGTACAACCGTTGTAGCTGTAAAAATGTTGCTAATTCACATCTCTCTTGCTCTCACACACACTCATATGCTTTATTGCCTCAGCCTCAGTTCCCTGCAGAGCTCCTCACTGAGAACCAAGGTGGAAAAAATACTGGGTTTGTGCGAGATGAGCTGCAGGAAAACCGCTGCTTTATAAACAGACCATTATATTCATCAACTTTGGATAGGACACACACCCTTACACAGGGTTAGATATGAAATTCTTGCTGGCTGTTATGCGTCAGATTAAAAAAAAGGGATAAATCATGCATTTACAACTCAGTCAATGACATGAATTAGCTACACACTCACACACAGCCTTTTCACCCAGTCTCAAATTTACTTGTAGAGTGCTTGAAAAACAAATAGATTCATTCATTACTGACTTCCAGTGAATCCTACTGACAGAGCACCTCTCTTAAATACATGCTTTTTCCCTTTTATTTTCTCTGTTATGTTAAACCAGGCATGCAGTGCCAGTATAGCCTTTTATGAATGAAAAGTGTAGATGTCAAAGATAACAGCCTGAATATATGAATGACTGGCATTAAATCAACTAAATAAACTCGGACCTCTGAACAGAGTCTAACAGACTCTGAATCTTTGTACGCCTGTCTTACTGGCTGCAGGTGTCATATTTCAGTGTTTTCTAAGACAACAGATCTGTGTAGAAAAATCTTGTAATGTCTTTGCAGGAAGATTCTGTTTTTCTGGCTATCCATAACGAAAAGGAATGTGGAGGGACTTCTTTGTCCTTTTGAGTAATATGTGACAGAGAATGCAGCCATTTTAGAAGCTTGATTCCTGCTGATTTATCACTGAAATCACAGTACTTCAGGGTAGTGTTATTAATTTAGTTATCATAAAGCATAAAATCGCCAGTAGGTGGCGGCAAATCACTGCATGAGTGAGTCATTGAGTCATTCATTCAACCGATTCGTTCAAACGGCTTATTGATTCAGTAAGGAAACATAGTCGTGTGTTACTCAGACGCAAAACAGTTCTGCTGTGGCTTTGCTTGAGGGGAGATTCTAGGATTTTCATTTTAGGGGGGCTCAGCCCCCAATGAGGGTATAATAATAAATAAATAAAATAAAATAATGTTTGACTAATAGGTTAGGGTGGTATACTAAACCTATTGCAGTATTCCACTGTATTGCATAAGTTAGATGGGTATAATATTTGAGTACTGAATAAGCCAAATACAAGTCTTCCTGATCACGCACAAACACCTGTTTATTGTACAAACACAAAATTGTACTGTTTGCATTTCTAAACAAACCTCTTTCTATGCTCAAGTAGGTCTGTCACTGTTTTCAATCATTTCTGTGCATGACTGTATGGGAGTTAATGCCACAATAACTGTAATATGTTTTATATTGAAAGTTCGATTTTCAAATGAAAATAGCAACATGATCGTTTGATGTGTTCATATGAGTTAAGGGTTAGGTTACATTTTCGCTGGAGGAAACAGCTGTGGTGTGATGAGGGGTGAAC